TTGAGCTCCAAACGAGAGATGGCCTGGTACATGGTGTCACTCGAGAATCTCCTCGGAGTGTGTCATCAGAATATTACTTAAGAAACAGGTTCTCTATCGGTTTGTTCCCAGGATTCCTTTTTGTTTATTATATTTACTAGCGAGACGGTGTGTACTCAGATGTTACTAGAAGTTTTTAGTTTCCCTGCTAGACTTGCTTCTCGTCAACGTTCAAGATTCTAACCCATAAAGGAGAACGAACTGACGAAACATTAGAGTTGAAAACAAAAAAGATTTCATTCTTTCGGCTGAGGAGTGATTTCAAACTGATTTCAAAGTGACGAAGGTCTGTCTTGCCTTTTTGGGATTATGACTAGTTTCGACATCTTCATCCAAGTCGTGTGCTTGTATTTGAAAACAATGCTTCTTTGATAAATGAAGCATGTGACCTCTTGTGAATTTCCCCCTTGATAGTGATTGGTACTGATTGTTGTTGGTGTTGCTTGGTTAATTGGTTATCTTCAACACCTCTGTCTTCTCTTTATGTTCAGACATCAGAAAGCCTTGAAGACAGGGAGAGTTTCAAGGGATAAGCCTGCTAACCGCTGCTAATGAAACTTCACATCTGAATATTGAAGCTGCATATGTTTCTCGGAAATAAAAGAAGTACATAAGGTACGGAAAAATTCAAAAAAAGGCTTTTCATTGTCAATGTATGTGTGAAACTTGTACATTATCACAAGGTTTAAGTCTTTATTAGCTTGTCTTTTATTATGCAGATTACACGATTCAACACTATTGTTTCACTGAAGGGTGCTTTGAACACATTTCGATGTTCATATCCACATAAAGTATAACTCCACTAGATGGAAACATTTGGTTATGTATGTCCAAACCAAGTTCACTTTTTACGGTTTGAAAAAAATTGGGCAGTGGGTAATTCATTATCATAAAGGTTTTTGTATTTCCCAATGAATGAAAAACAAAACGATATTGTCATTTTTTACTGGCGTTTCGCTATTCAATGCTAATAGCTTTATCAAAGTAGAAATATTAAACCAGAATTTACAATATATATATATATATATATATATATATATATATAACAAAGAGTTAAGAGGTGAGAAAATGGACCACTTAGGTCAAGTTAAAGGGACATACTGAAAGTCAAAATAGCAATGAAGATCACTAAACTAAATAACCAAGGTAATAGTACGTCTGTTATGATATCAAAATAAAGTTTACTAACTTGATTATCTTTCCTCAGTGAGACTGATTAAATCCAACAATCTACACTTAGTTTCACTGTCTTTACCAATTGACCAACTTGACAACGAAAAATGACCCCAGACTGACGAACGATGATCAAGTTAGTAAACTTTATTTTGATATAACAACAGATATACTATTACCTTTGATATTTGGTTTGAACGATCTTCATTGTTACTTCAATATGTCCTTTTAAGTTGAATTAAGTCTATATTTTTCTCACCCCTAACTCTTTGTTATATATATGCTGAGATTTTGTAAATTCCGGTTTTATAACACTTTGATAAAGCTATTAGCGGCATTAAATAGCGAAACTTCAGTAAAAATAAAACGACAATATCGCTTTGTATTTCATTCATTAAGTAATAGAAATTGGCAGAAGTTAGAAGTCAAGGACCATTGGATGGGGTCCCAGTGGCTCAATGGTCTACGAGCTCGCCTTGTAACCAGAAGGTCCTGGGTTCGAATCCCGGTGGGTGCGTACCGCTGAAGAGTCCCAAACTAGGCTGACGAAACAGCTGGCTGTCCAGTACTCCTAGGTTTTCCAGTGGTTCTCTAACTGATGTCAGCTCATGATTAAATCCTCCATACAATCAAACCAAATCCCTACAAAACCAACATCTGAAAACTATATAATTCAAATCTATGGGAGGTTATACGAGCATATTCATATGATGTTAATGAGTTGCGATCAGTTAAATAACCCTGTACTACTCTGTGATTTTATCACATGGAGTTCTACTCTTATGTCGATATTTTAGGTTTGACACGTTTGCGTCAGTAATGTTGTTTTATGTGAGTGATCGTCGTACAGTCTACTGATCTAAATATACTTAGTCTGTAGGAAACACAGAAAACTTCAGAAAAGAAATTGTAACTTAAACATGCTGCACAGTTGACAGCTTTTTTGGCTAACGTGGTATAGTGGATAACGATTTGGCTAAAGAAACTAAGGACTCCCCCTCCTTCTCACCATCAATCGAAATATCATCATTGTAACTATCTATCCACTCATTAAGAGCCAATATTTCAACGGAGAACAAGGATTTTGCTTCTGTGTAGCGCGGTCAACTGAATTTTCAAATTCAATTGAAAAAGAATGTTTTATTTCAACACCTGTTTAAATTATAAAAATATTTCTCAAGCGTTTATAATCACTTTTCTATATTTCAATAAAAGTAAAATTCAAAGTGACTCATAGAATGTTAGCCTTTTCGCCAAATACTCTGCTAACCTAAGAGTAATTGTTTCCTTTCAAAAATTTAAAGCAGTTAGTTCCCTTTATGAATTTCAACAACACAATACGAAGACGTAGTTTATCTGAAACATGTAGTGAATTGGCACCACACATTTTGAACATTCTGATCACACACGTGCTTGTAATACACAGTTTTTATAGAAGGCAAGAAGACATGAATAATTACAATACAGGTCAGATTGTGTACAGGTCAAGGTCACAAATAATGTGGGTAGGGAGACGCAAAAGGTGTGGGTAAGAAAGATAAACAGAGAAAAGAGAAAAAAACAAGGCAAATAAGGGGTTGAAAATATTATGAAGTATATTGATCCTTGGTTCTAGCTTGGATTACCAAGGCAGGTTCAAGCTGATAACAAATAGCTTTTGGACAGATAAGACGATTTTAAGTCTTTTTACGGATCAGAGACTTCGCGCGTCATAAAGAGCATCTCAAACAAACTTCAGACCTTCATTTACACAGTTGTCTTCACTCAATACTCAAGATCATATGGCCAGAAGAGATCAGTAATAGAGATATCTGGGAGCGAACCAACCAGGAACCGATTAAGCAACAAATAAGCAGGAAGAAATGGAGATGGATTGGCCATACTCTGGTGAAACCATCAAGTGATATCACTAGACGCGCGGCTGAAGCCCTATGTTCCTCTAGGAATTAAAGGAAATAATAATATTGACGTTCATAAATGGAAACATGAAAGCGAGGTCTGCCTTAGCCTATACAGTGTTCTTCACGTCTGATTCAGTTTATATGTATAATGCTGTATACCAATGATTGATTCAAATGAATAGTCTGACTACCAGATACCAGATAGCTTCTTCGATCGGTCCAGACCGAGCTCATCTGAGATGTATATGGTCTGATTCAAATCAAAGAGCCAAATCATTTGAAATTACTCGAATGCTGGTTTGATATTTCACTGAACTGGTAGTACATTGAATCAAATTTGCACGTCACAAAGTTCATTGCAACAGAGTTTATCAAATAGTTGATGCACGTTTTACTGTGACTTATTGTCAATAGATCACATTCATTCTACATAATATGCCAAACATGCGTTCCCTGCTCGAAACGGTCTTTGTAGGTGTGCCTGTGGCTAGTCTCTGGAACAAAATAAATATAAATTATATATGAAAGAAGTATGGTTAAGCGTCTTGCAGACCCATCAAGGAAGATATGTATGCAGATCATAGACAAAAAAAGAAATTTGAATTTATATTCAAGCGTCACTAATGCAGATGGGTGGCACAGTGTTTAGGACTCTCACCGATCATGCACATTCTCCGGGGTTCAAGCGCACGCCGACGCACAACTGATATCTATGGTTGGCCTGCGAAATTAGAGCTACCGATATCCACGCTGAAAATTCCATACTTGTACCAAAAATACAGTGTGGAATCAAACTGTAATCAAAAATAAAAAAATAAAAAAATTTTGGAACTTGACTGAGACTGATCGAGTGAGATTTTGGTTCCAATGACCAGTCAGAATTACACGGAAAACATTTTAAGCAGCAAACTTATGTTTGTCATTTCCTAGTCGACAAATATTTGGTGCAGGAATGAAAGATAAGCTAGATGGTTTAGGCACGCATCTATGTGTATTTATCAATTCAGCTGCTCCTGAGGAGACAGTCTCTTTGACCGTACCGTAGTAGACAGCTTAGGCAACGTGTTGCAGAACGTCTTTCTCAGTGGTTTGAAAAACGACAGACGAAAACCATCCGAAGCTCCGCTCTGTCTCATTTAGTTGTTAATGCTCATTAAGTGGAGAAGACAAAAGCAATCAGATTGATTCATCCCATTTTAAAATTAAAAGGGTTGGTTAAGGTAAATTTTAAAAAAATTTATAGCTATTATGTCTCGTTTGGCCGATTGAAACCTGACCAGCTTATGTTGACACCGCCGTCCCTTAATTCATAATTTCAACCCTAAATCTTGTCAACCCTTGATATATCTTCATATAGTCAATGTGTTTACATGCCTTACACTCCAGGAATACGTAATCGGTCCTTTTAGCTTTCTTAGCCTGTATCGACCAAATTGGAACTCTACCCATCATCATCGAACAGAGTATGGAATTTTAGTCAAACCTGTACCCCAACTTTATAGACTTTGATAAACCCTGCTACAGTGTTGACAGTGAAGTAATTTGGAAACTACTCGTGTACTACGGCTTAAACTAAATATTCGTCAACCTTATTCAATTGCTGTACGACAACGGCGGCACATGTCAAGTGATCCAAAACAGAAAACTCAGTGAGGCGTTGGAGTAAACACAGGATTCAGACAGCTGTGCCTGCCTATTATCACCAATGATATTCCTAATTGTGGTGGGCTGGTAGGAAACGAGAAGACAGGAACATCCTGTACCGACGTGAAGATCCAAGAAGACCTGGATTTCGAGCGTGGATGATTTATGTTTGATTTCACACAAAATCGAAGACTTATAAGCGAAAGCCGACAAACTGGTCGAAGAAGCAGCCGGCGAAGACAGGACTCCATGTGAACATAGACAAGACGGAGGCTATGAAAACGACCAAACAACAACAACAGCAACATCCATCGCCAATCACCATCAACGGGAGTGATTTGAAAGAGTTTACTTCATTCACTTATCTAGCATTGAGCATTGTCTCAACTACACACAGTCGGAACAGACGAGAATGTCAAATAGAGAATCGGGAAGGCGAGAAACACATTCATCAACCTGAAACCAATCTGGAAATCTCCGTCACTCAGCCAGCATCAACAACAAAATTCGGTCGGATTTTCAATACAAACAAACGTCAAGTCAGTCAGTTCTTCTCTACGATCAGAAACTTGGTGGGCGGGTCACAAAGAATATTTCCCATAGCCTGTTGCAGACCTTTATCAACAACAATTGTCTTCACTCTATATTGAAGATCAGATGGCCGGGCCGGAAAGAATCACCAACAAGAAACTATGGGAACAAACAAACAAACAAAACAAGAACTAATCGCCCAACAAATATGCATAAGAAATTGGAGATGGACTGGACACTCGCTAAGGAGGCCGGTGGGTGACATCGCGCGTCAGGCTATTGCTCGAGTGGAACCAGGCCGAAAGGGAAGCGGCAAGTGGGGCGTCAGTGCAGGGGTGACATGGAGGAGATTGTGTGAAGAGGACTTGAAACATTATGGGTTAACATGGATGCAGGTGAAAAGTAGAGCAGAGGACATGAGCAAGTGGAGACGTGCAGTTGAAGCCCTATGTTCTACTAAGAACCCAAAGGAATAATAATAATAATCAACCACGTCTACCTGGACATTTGTTCATTCGGTGATGATGTATCCCATTATTCTTTTACTAGGGATCGTTTGCCTATTACTTTCATCATGATGCATTCCACAGTGACGAATCCCAATGACTAGTTGGTATTTAATATCTATTTGTAAAATGTCTATATTATTGAAGTAGACGCTGACGAAATCTAAATGATGTTGATGTCTTAATAATCTGCAAGTTATCTTCAAAGGATTTTCCATATAAAGTTTGACATTTTTCAAACCTATCAAAGGGAGTGAAATCAAGACATCTGGGCGTAGCCGAGGCACTAGCCATCCAAAATCTCAAACCCATGCCATGCATCCAAAAGAAATACGTTCAACCCTTGTCTCTGCAGTGGCCATCATAACCAGGTAATTCTTCTGATAGTGACGACCCCTTGCCTTTCTTATCTGAACTTCCTGTTTATTTTATCATTTTAATATTTCTACACATTTAATCCCTGATCGCATAAGCATATATACGTCACATTAGTTAGTTATATTCCCATTGGATTTTCTTTCCAAGCATCATGTCTATTGTTGTTATTTCTACAGTTCTCACCCTTATTTGCACAATATATGAATCTTCTTTGCTTGAGTTTTATCCATCCCCTGTTTATTATGGCATTCTAATTCCTGATTGTAATTTTATTAACTTGACCCTAAGCCGGAAATTATTATGGAACGTTCCTCCCTATTTGTTATAAATACACGAATGTACATCTATCTAGTTGATGACTGTAAGCTGTAATCAAAAGAAAAGATAAAAAGACTTCGTTGAAAAGAAAATTTTCTTCGCTCCAACTGTCTTCTTAATAATCCGTGTGACTCAATGTGTATATTCCATGATTTATTAGAATTATCCTTTTTTATGCATCTATCATTTATTAGTGCCCTGATGTGTAGTGTCTTTTTGATGCCTGTGTTATTGTACAATCACTCCCGCGTGTTTTCTTGAAATGTAATCTTTTTCTTCATCAGTAATGTTATTCTGGACTTACATGTCCTTATTCGAGAAGAACACATCTACAAATCCCCTTACCTGTACGATGATATTTGTTTGGTTTCATCGCGTTTGCGTTCATATGGGACATGGAACATCAATCTTTTTTTTAAGTTTCAGTATCCTATGCTGGTATTAGCTTTGCATGGCGTGGGGTTGCTGACATCGCACCCAACGTTCCCCCTTTGTTTCCGAATTCAATACTGCCTAGATAATGTTTTGGGTGCATTGCAATCGAACTTGAACCTCTTACATGGTTTTGGAACATTCTTCCACTAAACCACCGTGCATTTTATCAATTATAACGGTTATGAGTTAACTTGACCATCTTTTTTAACATTTATTATGTGACCAAATATATAAACAGTATTATCATTTGATTTCACTGTATGATTAGTCAGTTTTTGAACAGGTACATATGTATGCTTTAGCTTTATGACCAGTTCAATTCACCCATTTAGGTATGTGTGATTAAAGAATGTCACACGTTTAAAATGTGATATGTCTATAAATATATGTGGAGAAAGTCCTCTTCAATAGACATTAAATCTATTATTAATCGAGCATCTTTTCATTCTGTGATATTTTTTGAAATTTTCTACGGAGTTTCTCAACTAGGTCTGAATGACAAAAGTGTTCATAATTTGTACGTTAAATTATCCACTTTCTCCTCGATTGGGTAATATATATATGTAATGAAATATGTTCTTAAAGGTTCCAACCGGTACCGTAGGCATTTGTTGAATTGTAGATATTTTTATAAGTAAATTATAATTAGTTTAGTTATGCAGGGGGTGGCACAGAGGTTAGGACGCTCGTTGACTATACACATAGTCCGGGGTTCAATCCCGTGCCGACGCACTCTTTTACCTCACTAAGCCAGAAATATAGCTGGTAAAGAGGAAAACTTAGGCATGAGGCTAGCAACCCCGTCCTGGAAAAATAAACACTGCTACAGAAACTTCAATCCTCTAGCTTGAAGCCCTATGTTCCTCTGGGAATGTGAAGGAATTAATAATATAATAATATAATTGAAATTAATATTATTGACGAATACTACTAACCTCTTCAATGAGTCCATTTCGATTGAAAATGAAATAATAAGCCAATGCAGCACCTGATGAAAGTGGGATTTTACTTATCGCCCAATCATAGATGTATAGGCTTTTGTAATTCACTATTCACTCTTCCATATACATAATGAGAATTTGAAAATTAAAATTCATTAGGAATTACAATAGAGTAGAAGTGAACGTTGTTCACTGCCTTAATTCCTTTTACTTTCTTCGTGTTAATTATTCACACGACAATCGGACAAAAGAACAAGAATTATGACTGATTATATTGAATAGGGCATTCAGCAGATTTTCAAAAGAACAGTGATGGTCCCACAAGTTCAAGTCTTCTGAATAGTAATTATCTTCCACTCCACCATCTTTAATTGTTATTTACATATCCTTCATTTCTCATGATCTCAAAACCATACCAAAACCAGTTTGGATAAAAGTTAAACCTCTGGGTAGAGACAGATATTCATATATATATAATGCAATTAAACAACAATGAAGCCTTAATCTATGTAACTCTAATTATTGGTTTAAATACCATGGACGGTAATGCGTCGATGGGACAGTGGTTAGGACTCTCGCCAACCATGCAGATGGTCCGGGGTTCAATCCCCTGCCAACCCACACCTGATATCTATAGTCGGCCTGCGAAATTCTGGGCTACCGATATCTATGCTGAAAATTTCATACTTGTACCAAAAATACGGTGTGGAATCAAGCTGTTATCAAAATAAAAAAATAAAAAATTAATAAAAAAACATTTGTCTGTAAATGCGTTTTTTTATATTTTAAAAGTCGGTTATTCTCACTGGTTGTGATCAGTCTATAATTTCACGGCGTCTAAGCGAGACATTACGAGCAATTTGAAATATGTTTTTGGTATTGTCTCTTCAGGCGAGTTACACTTATTGTCTTCTCGCATTGAATACTGATCACATTACTATGATTATTATTATCATTATTGTTAATAATATTGGTCATATAAACCAATTTCAACACATAAATGATGAACAAATTCACGTCGAACCATCTTACTGTTCACTCAAAGCAAAATATAAAGTCATATCATCCTAGAGAGAGACTTAAAATGCTCCGAATACAAAACTTCATCGGGCAAGCTGCATTCAGGAAGACTAAATTATGCGCTAATTGGATTGCAGCCTTGTACGTTATAGTCGAAAAAAAGCATTGGAATAGCGGGTCAAATCTTACCTCAGTTTTATCCACTTTGAAGAGGCCTTCGCCGGCGTTAACTCTGAAGTGATTTAAAAACTACTTCAACACTGCAGAGAGACTTAAAGCTTTATCAAACTCACTCAACAGCTATGTGGTAATGACACATATAAAGGAATTCACGACGGAAAACTTAGCGAAGCGTTTTAAGTGGAGACATGAGCAAAACTAGGCTGCCTACCAACTCTCGCCTATTATATTTCTTAGTATCAGTGGACTAGATCATGTGGTGAAGCCAAGTGACAGGAATGCGTTGGTTTGACGAGACTGCGGAAGATTCCGATATGGCAGATGATTTATGTCTAGTATCACAAACTAGAATACCTAGAAACAAAACCCAACAAGTCGGTAGCGGAGGCAGATAACGAATTCAGAAGAACACTGAGAAGAAAGAAGCGATGAAGACACCTGGTCAGTAACA